CTCTTAGTCTGACCCGTCACCCAGGACCTGTTTGCCTTGGGAGACCCTACCAGGGACATATAGCCCCCGACAACATTGCTCCTAGGGTCACTCGGGTACTCAAACCCCTCCACCACAATAAGGTGGCGGTTCAAGGAGGGGGGAATTATAGCCTATATGCTAAAGGAACTGCGCCATAAAATACAGAAAATTCTGTTGGTAGTAGTGGAGGGCAATATAACCTTCACTTAGACTGAAGCACCAGCACTGTTTTCTATAAATGTACTTATAAGGAATATAACCTTCAATTTGTTACAGTGTGTGTGTTCACTTGATTATTAACAGTGTGTGCTCACTTAATCACAGAATGTACTTTGGTATTAAGGAATTGTGCTTGGAACAGCTCTGATGCAGGGGAGTTATCTTTGGGGAAGTAATGATAAATTCCAGCTGCATAATAAAGAATGTGTATAGGAGGGGGAAGAATAGGATATAACACACAGTTTTGGTAACTGCACCTCAGATCATATGCCCTGCTGCTGCTGTATGATCTCCAGATATATCTGCAATAAAAGGTAATAGTGCACTTTGATATTTGGTGTGTGACTGACATTCTTTCCACTATCTGGACTCGAGAGGAAGTCTGGGACTTCACAAGTGTTATATTTTCTCAGACATGCACACTACGATGTAAGTGACATGAGGTAAAGAGCGAAAAGCCCTTACTCTTCGTTAACAAGTGATCACAGCATTTGCGTTTTTATTGCGCAAGCTTAGACATCGGGACAGTAATTGTCTACGTCACGAAACGTGATCGGAAGTCGCCTTCAGTCAGCTGAGCGAGTGTCGCCGTTTCTACCCCCCGGTCAAAGGTTTGTCTGTTGAAATTGCTTGTATCTTGTTATTTTACAGTGTCGTTTTTGATATCTGCTCTACGAGAAGAAAACGCCGTGTCTTGTTTTATGGTATGGCTGTTTCATTTGGCTAGCTGGCGATCTGCGTTCATTAGATAGCGTTTGACTATCTTGCTAGCCAACACCCCTCTGCTAGCTTTACCACTTGAAAACATAGCTTTTGTAACAATTAAGGTAACTTTTCGTAAATATAACCCAGTGTTTGTTATAACAGATGATTAGTGTGAAACATTTTGATAACGTAGTCTCTCTCCATTGGACAAAACTCGTTTTATGGAATGGAAGTTGAAGATAAAATGGTACTAATATCATGCCTGACTAGTCTGACCAGTTACCTAAGCTCAATACATTTTCCATTTGTAATGATATGAAATGAAGTAAAGCAGCTCTTGGCATTAATGAATCTGTTCTTAAAGTTTAATCAATACAATTAATTGTTCATCAAGACTAAAATCTATTATTTAAACGTCTAAATATTTTGTTCCCATTTGAAACATTGTCAAAATCCTCACTTTCCAGCTGTAAACTGAAACAAAGCTCCCTGTCATTCTTGACCTTGTTATAAAGATGAAGATCATATATTTGAAAGCTCTGATATGGCTAATAGAATTAAGATTTTTATTTTTTTTGTCACTGTGTGCTCTACAGATGGCCTACCCTAATTCCCGCAACCCATTTGCATTTGATGACGATGAGGAGGATTTTAAGCCTAAAAGTAGGGGGTTTGATGACGACCCCGATGACAGTGGGATGAGTGAAGCAGAGAGGAGGCAAAAGTACCTCCAGCAACAAGTGATGCATACAGCTCAGTCTGCTGTGGACAGCAGTTACCGCTCCCTCAGCCTCATCTATGATTCAGAGAAGATGGGTGTGGAAACTGCAGAGGTATATGAGACTAATTAACTTTACTCGGTGTGCAACGATCAACAAAAAAAAATTAATAAATCTTGCAATTTCACTCATTCTTCTTGTTGTGTCTGTAGGAGCTGGTGCGTCAGGGTGAAGTTCTGAAGAGGACAGACAAGATGTTGGACAAAATGGATCAGGACATGAAGACCAGCCAGAAGCACATTAACAGTATAAAGAGTGTGTGGGGTGGTCTTGTCGGTTACTTCAAGGGCAAACCAGAGACCAAGCCACCACCTGCACCTGAGCAGCCAAAGGCCTACCAGGCCAACGAAAGGTAAGATTCAGGCCCTAACTATCAACAGATAAAACCATTTTGTAAACTTGTTCTTTTTCTTCTTAAATTTCAAGTTACATATCATTGAATGACCTTCACGCAATGGTTCAACAATGCTTATCTGACTTGTTCATATTTTTTCAGATTACAGAATGCCTTGTCCAACAGCAGGGAACATGAAGATAAGTACCAAGCCTCTCACCCGAACTTAAGAAAGTTAGATACAGGCGGTAAGAGTTTGCACAAAAACATCAGCTTAGCATAACATACCCGAAACTGGTTGACACCATTTTGGATTTCTGTGTCGCAGGATTTGGAGCTACTGCGTCAGTAGATGACAGCTCATCTAGACAGAATGGATACTCTCAGAACAAGCACCTTAAGGAGGCTCACCAGACCCTCGACAAAAATTTAGGTAAAAAAACATATTTATTTAAATTATTTAGTGTTTTATTATAATACAATGTTTTATACAATGCACTTGAAAGAAAGGCAAAAGGAGGTGTCATCAGTTTTGATAAAGTTTAAATGAAAACCTTCTCAGTGAAATAGGTTATTCTCTCAAATATATAACCATATAATACTAGTGCAGTTCTGTACATTCTGAGTTAGGTGTAAAATGTTGTTATAATGTAAAAGAGAAAAAAAACAGTCCACAGTTTAACTAAGATCAGATGTCCTTTTATGAAATACCTAGATGAGATGTGCGATGGTTTGAGAAGGCTGAAGAACATTGGACTTGGTCTTCAGTCTGAGATTGAAGACCAGGACGACTCTATTGATTCGCTAATGAATAAAGTGGACAAGATGGATGTCAAGATCCATAACACAAACCAACAGATTAAGAACCTCAAATAAAACAAACACTTGGACTCATAGTACAGAGACAGAAACAGGTCGATATTCTCTTACTTGGCTTCTATCCTAGTCTTTGTCAAATACATTTGTTCTTTTAGGTTTTTTAATGGGTTCAAACATGTACATGTATGTCTGGCAGATCAGCAAGTGAACATTTTTACCCAAATTATTTTCTTCTTGAATGAGTAAAATATGATTTCCCATTCATTTCTGTGTGAGATTTGTCCATAAGTCCATGTTTGCCTAGTTCCTCCCTCCAATGATTTTTATACTGATGTGAATGCACGGAATTTTGTCCCCCCCCCCCAACCAAAGACACACACACACACACCTGCCCATACCTCTTGATGATATCCCACCTTGAAATGCGATTAATTTACTTGTGTGCATTGTTTCTGTCCAGGTCATTTGTTTTCTCCATCAAACTCCATTGCATTTCTGGTTCAGTGTAGTCAGTTGCATTAGCATTAGTTCTGGGTGACTAGATTATTAGTTTGATACATTTTTCTCAATAACCAAAGATTTACAATTGGCTACTAGTTTGCACATCATTGAGGTGAAATAGATGAATGGTTTTTAGAAATAAAGAACAACACATGTCTTAAACTGGAATCTTTTGTGTATGATTCATTAGTTAGTGGTAATTCTGATTCCTGGACCTGCCTCCACATCTTTTCAAAACCACTTTTTCTAGCTCAAGTCACTTTTGCCTTATGTGTATATATACATGCATATGTATGTACAGTGGACTAGCTTTTAGTGCTGTGCCATGGTTCTGTTTCCAGTAGTACTTTAGAATGATTGTTTTTATTTTGGTTGTTTGAAATATTTTCATGTTTTTCGGTGCTTTCACTGGCTTTATATGCATTGTTTATATTGTTATATATCATTTTGAATGCTGCAGCATTTGTTGGGGTGAATTGTTGTACAGCATAAATAATGTGAACTAGTTAGCTGTGAGTATAAAAACTTTAGAAACTTAAGGAATATTCTCAATAATCACAAATCTTTCCTGAGTTACAAAGTAATAGTTGATGAACCACATGCAGGTTTTTCAGAAGTTAAAACGGGTTATTTAATACTATTAGGAATAAGAAGATAAATAAGGCTTGATGGTCACAAGGTTTCATCTTTGCACTCTATGTCATGTATTCTAATCAGAAGCATATACAGAATAAAATGCTTTTAAGTTGAGTTTCTGTTGTTTTAATAATTGTCTCTGTCAAGAGTAGGAAGCCAAAAGCACCACAAGGTGGCACTACAGTTCTACTTTCATGAATTGTAGCAGCATACCATCATTAGTTCATATACATAGGACAGACCCAGACTGGATAGTTTATTTTAAAGCTCTGAAATACATTAAGATATTTATAATAATGTGGAGTGTGCAATTTATCTTTCAGTAAATATTTACTGTAACCACAATGCAAAAAAAACTGGCTTATTTTCTCATAATGATGTATGGAGCAGTTGCAGAAAAAAACAGTGTTAAAAGTGTTACACAGGGTTATGTACAGTATGTGTTAAGAATGTATGGTTATCAAAGTTTGACTTACTTTTTGCCAAAAGTGGTGACTTTGATTTCAGTATCATCATCACAGTAATATCAATGTGAGAACAATGTGGCTACAGATAAATAAGCTGAAGTAGGGACCTCCAGTTGAGGTGGCACTGCACATCCACAGACACACTAATAAGCGGAAGTCAACTCAGGGTTCTTTTCTTCACGCCATCAGCGGGGGTCACGGGGGCTTTGAACAGCTGTCTTGTCAAAAGCAAACAGTGGCCGTGCTGTGACAAAGGCTGCTGGTGCCAGAATGACCCCCTTTTCAGCAGGCCCAGTCCCAGAACACACAGGGACTGGGCCTGAGATAGGCCTTCCTGACCTTTGGAAGTTAGGTTAGTAGAGGCAGCCAGTGGGGTAAAGCCTGCTTCAGAGGGTATGGACTGTCAGGCTGACAGCACTCTATTGCTGCTGTTGTAGTAAGAGAAAATAAAAAGTTGTGCTGACAGAGGCAGGGCAGATACAGGGAGGAGGACATCTGGAGAAATTACTAGAGGAGGTGAAGTTCAAGTGCCTCTGATAACACAAAGTTATCAGGAGTATGAATCTCAACCAGGACTAATTTGGAAAGTGTTGATTTGTTAGATGGTCATATCAGTTTTATTTTGATAAAATCCTTTTAAATGTACTTGGTATTAGTGCCAACAAGTGTTTGGCATTTCCTCTTTTCAATCAAAATGTAATGATGGAATAAAATAACCATAACAGAAAAATATGATGAGGGTGAGAGATGACATATTTATTGTCTCTAATGGACTGTGTACAGAGTATACTGTGTTGCACTAATAAAATCATCACTAGTTTTATAATAAATAAACACACAAACACAGACACAAATATGGGAGAGAGAGAAAGTCACAGGTTTCCAGAGAGAAAAGCCCTTTACTGGTGCAACACTTGTCCTACTCTTAAACCAGCAGTATAAGAGAGACGTGGGAAGGCACACTGAGGCAGATGACTGACTCCTGTAGAGACATCGAGGCTATGGAGCTGTGAGGAATGCTGGGAGGAAATTCTGTTAATTACTAAAATGGGAGTAACATTGATTTGATGGTACTTTGCTGGAATAAGCTCCCTTGTGAAAGCAACTTCTGAGCAGGGCAGGCTATGAGAGAACATTCAGCTATGAAGCAGTTCTTGTCTTGGACACAGACAATGGAAACTACAGTGAAATTCTCTTAAATGGCTCTTTTTCCTCCGACAATATTAGGTCTAAATAGATGGGTCTGATTTCAGCTATGAGTTGCTTTAAACTAACAAAATCATTAGAAACTCACCATTAGAAGATGCAGACATTAAAGAAGACACTTTAAGTTAAGCACCTGAGAATAAGTACCTGATATTCAACTTAATTGTTGGTGTCATTTTTTTTAAAGTAAAATATTGACATTGATTGATATTGACGGAATGATTTTAATGATGGACACAATTTGAATGATCCAGTTTTTAGCTTCTCCAACCCATAGGTAATTTTGGACTTTTTTGGACTGGGGCTAAAACTGGATGCAGCAACTGTTGTTCGGTGTTTAAATGTTGAATACAACTACGTGTAACTATATAGACATTCATTACACATAAACCATCATAAGTAGAAAATGTATAAAGTAGAATATATTTATACATAATGCAATAACATACACACTTGAATTGGTGGAGGTAGATACAGTAGAAAAGATTTAGAGGTAAAAAGGCATAAAGATGCTTTGGAGGGGACAGAGTGCATAATGTGGCTGAAAAGTAAGAAGTTAAATGTAACTTTCTGTGTGCTCAGTGGTAGTGTATACAGTACAGAGTATGAAGTGAAAAGAAAAGTGGCAGGATGCTGCTGATCTTCTTGAGTTATCCCTTCAGTAATCTGAGTCAGAGGGGTCTGGCTTGGCTGCCATGGCTCTCCACAGTTAACAGGAGGTGGGAAATCATATCCCTGCATATGAATGTCTGGGGTTTGCATGTCAGCTCAAACAAAGAGCACAGAGTAGGGCGGACACCGGCAGCCCTCAGAAGACGACTCTCGCACCCAGGCACCATGACATCCAGTGACTGAAGCAGCTGCCCAGAATGTTCTAGGAATAGAGAGATCATGATGGGTAGGTAGAGTAACAGAGGAAAAGGTTTTTAACCCCTTATACCCTAGGCCTGAAAAAAAACTATACGCATATTTAATCAGTAATAGCTCCTTAAATCTAAAGCCACAAGGGTGGAAGGGGTGAAAGTTTTTTTATTTTTCATTTGAGGTATTAAAATGCATTTTGTGTTTTTTTTATGATATTAAAACAAGTTTCAAATTATTTTGATTTTAAAACATGAAACAAACTGTGTGAAAATTGTTGCATATGTTGCTTTCAGCCCAAAAATTATAAAAACAGTGGCTTTAATGTTGCAGGATATTATTAATACTGTTTTACATACAGTACACTGTAACTTGTACAGTCAGACCATGACAATCGGATGATGGCTAAGCTACAGATAACCTAAACTCAAACTGTCAGGAGTGTAAAGCTCAAACATGTCTTTAGTTTAGTTTTGGTTGGTTGGCTTACCTGATGTTCTCCAGACCCTCACCTCCACAGCGGTCTGACTTAGACATGGCATCACTCTGGCACTCTGCACACACCAACCTCTCTCTCACCAGCTGAGCACTCCATAGTTTGAGATTACATGCTGCACTGGCCTGTTTCACTCGCAGGTACACACAGTAACTACAAAGCACAGAGAAAAAAGAAAGACAAGATGAGAAAAGAAAAAATATTGAAAATAAGTTAACCAATTTTACTTCCATCAGATTTTTAAATTTGACAAAAATGCAGGTGTCAAAATGTCAAATCAAAGATTTATTGTCTCAAAAACATTGAGAACTAAACAGGCTGCTGTTCTCACAGTTTTATCACAAAAAAAAGGAGACAGATGTTCTTTGGACTGAGATTCGGTCAGATGAAGACATGTAGACAGAGGCGCAGGCCAGGTTCAAGCCCTCCAACAAAGGCCTCCCTCTTCTTTCCTGCCCTTAAAGTAATCTAACTTGACTTGATTGAAGCCAAACGATGATCCAACCCAGCAAAGCTGCACTTGATCACAGCTCTAACCAGACTAAAGACAATCCAATTTGTGGATGAGGGAGTTGTTTAATTTGAAGGTGTTCCAGCTGTGTCACCATCACCTGCAGTATTCTAGTATTAACACAGCTCAGTCTGTGCACTGGAAACAATAATAAAGTCTTGTTTTCCTGATCACTGTGTTCTCTGGCAGGCACTTAAATCTCCTGCCTATTTATTTTGTCTATGATTCAGTCAGCTGTGTCAAAACACCATCCCCAGTGGGGTGGTTTGTCAAAGAAAACATGGAGTTCTTCTTCTTCTTTTTCTTCTTCGCAGAATGATTCCAGAAGGTGTTGTTCACTTATAACATTGGAAAATATATTTTTTAAAAGATCTAATTTGAACTGTTCATGCTAGAGCAAATGACAAAAAGAAGTAAATAAACAAGGTAGACAGAGTGAAGCAAAGTGATGATATACCATGGCAAAACAGATCTTTGTCCTGGTAGTGGACCAACAGACCAAAATAATAAAGCAAAATAAGAACTGCAGATGAACCTCCAGCCATTCCACATCTTTATGAGATCATGTTCATTTAGGTAATTTTGCTGTGATAACTAGGGAGCCAAAGACAACAACTGATCACCCCTTGTTTCATGGGTCAATTTTCATGACTCACCAAGAACCTATCAATGCATCAGGTGAACTCACCCCAACTCCATATCATCCTTAAATGGCTCACATTTATGAGAAATGTGCTTCTAATCTGCTGATGATCTGCTTTTCAGTCAAAACAAAGGTATCCTATGTCCATTTACATCAGTGTGAAAAGTTGTGAGTTTGCTATCAGCTCACATCAGAGATGATATACAGTAGTCAAATCAATTTCAAGGTTCTGTGTGCTATGGCAACGTTGGCCTTGGCCTGTATGAGTTAATATTTGGGAGCACAAACTGATATGAACCTGGAGTAAAGTGCAGCCCAATCAGAGAAGCTGAAATGCAGCCTCATACAGTATATAGCTAGAATTGAAGAGGTTCAAGCCAGATTGAATTAATAACATCTGAAATTTTTCTTCTTTAAATAATTTATGGCAAGAGAACCGAGTATTTTGTTGGTTAGCCTGTAACTGCAGCCATGACTAGAAGTTGTGTATTTATAATTAGAATCAGATATGCTTTTGAAATATTTTGCTGATGAGTATGAGTAGGCCTATCCTTTGTCTTTGATATGTTTAACTGAAGACAGGACTCCTCACAACACTTAATGAAGTCATCAGTAACTGGACCATGTCTGTTTTTGTTGTCCTTAAGCAGGTAAACAATAACACTGCCACTGGCGTACCTTAAAATTGTCCTATTTCCACATTTACTGTCACATATTTATGTAAAAAAAATTAAAAATAGGCACATAGCTTTCTACAAAAGCTCAAAATCAGTACAACACTAGACACATGATCACTCAATACCCTAAATACATACAGTAGTTCAGCTGTAATCACTCCCGCTGTGTCTCAGAGGCACATGACAGCCATTTTTACAGAGGAAAACAAATTGAACTGGTTGGATCAGCAGTGAGCAGTCCTGAGTGTTTGTGTACAGTTTGATAATAGAGGCCTTACCTGGCCTTTTCCTCCTTCATCAGCATGTGTGGCCGTCTCCATGGGTCCTTAAAGTTCCTCTTGAAAGAATCAGGCAGGATCTTTGCCACCTCTGCAAGTGGTAAAGTGTGGGGATGGAAAAGTGGAAATGAAAAAAGCAGCAATCATGTCATATATGTCTAAGAGCACCTTACTAAATTACATGCATATGACTCAAGATGATTCAGTGAATGGCATTACTCATGGTGATGAGAAGTGTGGTGGTACTCAGTTTTCCTTGGAATCCTTTTCCTGAAACAGCGTTTATTTGCATTCGGGGGTTTTATTACTAAAAAAGTGATGCAACAGTAAAGAGCAAAAATGAAGCATTTGAAATAGTGCAGCTGGAGATAAGGCTTCAGAACAGATGTTCTCAAGTGTGCTGCTTACAGTCAAAGTGTTAACAGAAAGTACTCCAGAGAATACTGAACACCAAGCTAATATGTAGCAGATTTCAGAGCAGCATGCACGCACACATGCATGCATATGGAGGCACATAGAAAAGGTCATGTTCTCACCTTTTGCAGTGCTGCAAATAGCGTTGTTTCCAAAGCATCCTCTGCGCTGTTTGAGGTCAGGACAGGGTGTACCTCCGTTTCTAGGGGGAACAGATACTTGGCGACTCCTTTCTGTGCTGCCAACTCCACAAGCAGATGTGCATGATGACCAGGGACCCCATGAGCCCACAACACAGTCAACGGCTGCTAGGGAAGCAGGGAAATCACTTGATGGTTTTTGATAAACAGCAGGGGGAAATATGTATAGACAAACAACTTGAGAAATCATTAAAGAAGTAGGACAAATATACAAAGAAAGGTCGCCTGAAGCTTCTTCTAGTTCTTTTAGAGTCTGGGTTTTATAAGTAAGGGTCAAGTACACTGTGGGAAATTAAAATGAGTTTAGGTTTTGGACTACCTGTATTTAAAAGCAAAAGGGCAGACTACAAAATGTTTTTTTGGACAAACACTTTCCAGCTGTGTTAAAATGACAAGTGGTCTAACTCTGAAGAATTAATTTATCTTTACCCCAGATGTAGATGTAAATTTTCCCCTAATATTTTCTGCAGTGTTTTACTACATAACTGAAAGAGTGAACGGGCACATACACCAAAATGGACTGCATAATACCACACTGAGCAAACAAGTTACTGGGTCATTACCATCTACTAATGTTAAAATCAACCAAACCTCAGACTCAGGAAGTCTGTAACCAAGGTCATATGTGTGGGGGCAATTTAAATAAGGGTCTAAGTTGGCATCCTGTTCTCGCTGGTTTCCCTCTACACCACACGCAAACACACACAGACATACCACACACACACACCAA